GCCATCAAAAGAATTAATTTTGTGATTTACTGCTACAATTAATGATTGTCCCAGTAAATGCCCAAACCCTACAGAACTGGTGCCTTCAGAGAGCACACTACATTACATTGGTAAACAGAAGGAATTTGTGAAGAACATTGAGGATCACGTAGGTCACCCTATGTGACATGGTAAATTGTCCTTGTGCCAAGATTTCAAATTATAGGCTGAATAAGTTGATGACTAGTGCTGAAAATAGTTAATTGCCTTGTTGCTCAATCTGATTTGATGCACAGGCATTTTCAAACTGCTTCAGGAAACAGACTTGTGTACAAGTACATTTTGCTTCACAGCAGTGCTCATCGGCTAAACCTTGGGAAGGTTTTTACATTCTTTGTGGACTGTGGATTGATTCAATCAAAATCTTTTGTCAGAAAAAAACTCACAACCACCCTGAGCTCCACAATGAAACATGTTTTTGACATCACCACGCATATGAATAAACTTAACCTCTGACTACAGGGTGCAGATCAAACGGTAATGGGTCTTTTTGAAATTTCTTGCAAAACATGTCATTTTTGGGGGACATTGAACCCCCAACTTTCCACTATTTCCATCTAAAAGAACTTTCTAAAGAGTACAAAATCAGTGTTTAAAGTTTAAAGTGCACAAGTGAGAAATACTTCTGAATGTTCTGTCAGATTTCAGGATTTCCAACATTTTGGCCCAGTGTTTTCTTTTGTGATTTAACCAGACCGCTTTGATACCAGTGACATGATTTTTCATTGTTTCAATGGATTGGTGTTGAGGATTTTGAATTTCAGCTAATTGAATTACAGTGCTCAGATTTATGTAATTTAGGGATCTGCAAAACACAATTTAGGCTAACTGAAAGAGATCTCAGCATCTTTATCATGATCTATTGGATGTCCCTGCCAGAGAAATGTAAGTATTTAAGAAAGGGGCATTTTCACTGCTCTCAGCATTTGGATCAACATACCTCTGTGAACAGGTATTTTCACACATCAAGTCAGTTCTTTGTCCTTCCCGTAGACAACTTAACACTCAGAGGCTTGCATGCTGCTTAAAGTGCTAAACTATGAGCCAAAGGTTGGAGAACTCAGCAAGGGAAATCAAGGGGAACAATCACACTAAATGGTAAAGTGCATATTAGTTTATTAAGTTTAGATATAATATTTTCAAATATTAAAAAATGTTAGTATAATCATTACTGAGATGTATCAAGTAAAATATCAATTGCACTAAAATCCATAAAAACAAGTGCATGAGATAGCTATTGGCATGCTCCTTTTTTTCTTTTGACTTAGATTTCTTACTCATGTTTTGTGTTAAGTAGCCTAATATACATATTTTTATCCCCTGTTTCCATTGGCTGGCATTACAAAATCATAAGATTATTTTAAAAATACTAAGTACATTGGTACACAAAACATAAGATTGTGCTTCAAAATGCTTCAAAACGCTCTAAGAGTCCAGATTAAATCTAAGTAACATAAATAAACACATAACTAGAGAAAACAAATGTGCTGAGAGTAACTGGAGTGCATGTTTCTCTCAAGACTAACCTACTGTATATCAAAAGAACTGTTCACAAAGAAAAAAGGCAAAGTCAGGAGAAAGAAAATGGAGTAGGGAATCCAATTCCAATGTTTAACAATAATGTATCAGGAGAAATTCAAAGTATTGGTTCTCTACAGATCTTTGCTTTCGCTGCTATGACAGGCTGCTTGAACTGGCCAGTATTAATAATTTAAGTTTAGCCAGGAAAAATAGCTAACTACTCTGTCCCAGGTGACACAAAAGGTCATTACTGGAGTGAAACACTTTCTGTACGCTTCCTTGACAGTTAAGTAATCCAGGAAAAATAAGACTTTGGTTTAAACTGTTACAACTCTCACCTAATGATTCCTCGTAGCTAGGAGACAATAACTGCTAGTATACTCTGTCTGCCAAGGCTCATGGGTTATTACAAATTGCACAGAGCTGGATACAGAAGACTGGCAAGTATAGCTCAGAAGCTGTGCATTGCCTGTGCAGACGATACCTCCCATAAATCCACTAGCCAGCTTCATGAAGTGCTTCTGCATCGTGAGTCACTAAGCGCCATGTCATTTGTGAAAGAATGCAGGTTCTGCCTATCCTGGTGGTTTCTTCAGTGGTAGTCTGTGTGACTGGAGAATTCAGACCACATAGGATACTTTCTTTCTAGATTTATTTTCTTAGGTTTTCTTAGGATGGCACAGTATTTGATTTCTGTAGCTGGTATTGGGGAACTAAGTACCATCCTGCTTGAGGACGCTACCCACCTTGTCAAGATTTGTCGTTTTAACCTTGCTGATCCACAGAAGACAGGGCAGCTAAAATCATCCAATGTAGTGGCTGAAGGTAAGGATGGATCCCAGAGTATCATAGACTGCTCAAACATACAGTAAGTGAAGAAGTTGGTCTACAGAGAGTCCCAGGGGAAGTTAATAAAAAAAGTCCTTCAGCCAAGACAGTTTTCCCAGTCATGACAGGAAAGTGAAGGATTTACATTTGTTATTTGTTGGGTAAGAGGCTGCTTAGTGACTTGTTTATAGGATAAGGTCTGGCTGATACCATTTCTGACTATTTGTGCTTCTCAGGGATTACTAAAGTTGTAATAAGATTAAATATAAATTATTAAATAACATCTATAATAAGTATAAATTCAGAGACATTGACATGAATGTTTTGCTACATATTACGAGAAATAATTATACTTATTTGACAAACAGATAAAGTAGTTTTGCCTTTAATATCTCTAAACATTTTATTCTTACATTGGGGAAACATACTTTCCCCAATGTAAGTACTGTAACTAATAATAAATACTAATATATTCACTCCTGACCAGGTAAGTGGAACAATCTGTATAAATGGCCTTCAAAAATAAGTGACATTCACAGATTACTGGCTTTTTAAAAGACTTTAAAAGAAAAGTAAATTTTTAACCATGTTTACTTCAGTTCCCTAGACAGATATTTTTTTCACTGTTAATAACACAGTGTAATAGTATCTCTATAAATACACAGTGGCAATGCCAAAGAAAGGAGAGGTATAATGGGTACCTCTCTTAAAATATATCTGCATCTCCTAAAATATCCAGAAGTACATGGACAAATATTGAGGGGAAAAGTAGTGGACACCACTGATTAAATGAACTCCCTTGTGATTGTGATTCTCTTTGGATGCCCCAGTATCTTTCTGTCAAACTGACTTCATCCCTCTCTGCCAGTTGAACAGTGGCACCACTACTGTATACCACTACACATCCTCTTGAACCATGCAACATTACATGCTTGTCATTTTCAATATTCTGGACAGGGAGGTTACTCCCAAGGAACATACAATTTGTTTTTATTTTATAATAATAAAATACAATAAAAAACAGCTTATTTGCATCTTATTATTCTCCATCTTCTTATCTTCTGTGGATCATTCTTAGGTTTTATGATCCCTTGATCAGTGCTTGCACCTGCCTTGCTCTTTGGCATTGTCAAGTTAAAAAAACCACTTAAATCAACACAATGTAACTTATTAAAAACAAGACATCAAGTGGAATGCATCAAGATAATGTAGTAAAAGAAACAAATCACTCAGATTAGATCTTCTTGGAAGTTTCTTATTGGTGACATTGACCTATAGAGAAAAAAAACATTGTAACTTAGAGATGCTTTGGGTTTTTTCAGAGTAAATATAAGTTTTGCACACGAAATAAACAGTGAGCTACTATTTCCACAAGGGGCAGTAAAACCCCCTTATGTAAGTTACCAGACACTTGCCAAGATTCCTCATCATACATTGAAACCCATCAATTGTTCTCTGCCAGTCCAGCTTTAATAACAGCCCAGTTCTGATGGGGCTGGCAGTCTCATTAACAGACACACTCACAGTGGGGCCATACACAAAGGGGACACAAACAGAACATATGGCAAATTGAAATCTTGAAAACAACAACAAATCCAAAACAATTGGGGGATCAGTACCACCCTGTCTGCTCCAGCCCCCACAGAGAGGTTTGCATTCATTACACACATACCCCCCTACCTTGAGAAAACACATATTGACAAGATAAGCTTCATCTTACACTTCATTATAGCATTCAACCAACTGATTCTTTTGGATTTTTTTAAAATATGCCTTTGAGACCAGAAAACCACAATGAAAGGGTTCTTATTCTTAGTGGAAGAGTTGGGATGGCCAAAACATTTAGCAAGCTCTAATGTCAGCTTAGTGGAAAAAACAGCACGTTTGGCAAAACAAGAAGTATGAGGAGCTTATTTAGAAACTGGTAATGGCAGGTTTATTTATACAGAAATACTAGCGTATAGCTGTAGTAGCTTTGCAAGAAAACCCTGCACCAGAGAGTTTCATTATATCTCCATAGTAAAAAAACGCCATGAAAAATGGTCCTGAGAATTTTCTCCGCAAGTTCAGTTCAGTTTATTTATCAAGTGCAATGAAATGCTCATTTGCAACTGTGTCAGGTTAGAATTGGCAAGATTAAGCAATACTCAAAATGCAAAAGAGACTTTTTTAATTGTTAACTGTCATTTAATCTTGCTTAAAGAAGTGTGCATTTAAACGAATCCATCTTTGCTACTTAAAAATGTGCCATAGTTCATGACATACTGTATCAACCTTTAAAGAGACTTTCTTTCTAATTATTTCATCAGAAATCTGTATTTTTAATTTGCTTTATCCATTCATGGACAAAATAGAGTTGTCTACAAGATGTTTGCTGTTATTTATTATGACTTAATAATTGTATGCCTGCCAAACCTAAAACTAGTCAATATAAAAGCTTTTGAAACAGCTTATTCAAAACCTGTCGGAGCAGTTGAATGCTGAGTGCTATACTGTATATCTGTTTCAGGTCTAAGGAGAATACTGTGGATAAAGGTAGGGAAAACACCTCCAAAATATTATATGTATTCGTATTTTTGTATACCTTTGGTTTAGAGGGCATATGTTGTGTTATGAATAGTTCATAGAAGTGTGTGCTAATATATTTTTAAAACATTATAAGTAAAGAATATATGAAGACCAACAAATTACTGTTGGTCTTCAGTAAAGAAGAAATGGGCTGACCCTTAAGGAAAAAATCTAATCTTTTTATTCTTGTTGAAAGTTTATGTCTTTTTAAGTCTTTTTTCCATGGCTGCAAAACTAGGACTCATAAAAGCTACATTTGTATTATATGAAACAGTAATTTATTGTATGACTTCAAAAAAACCTTTTCTGGAACTAATAATCTTCATTCACATTGTTTTACGTTTTTCATGAAACTTGCATTAATTAAATTACATCTTGGAAATTATGTTTCCAATTAAGCTGTTTCCCCTTGTTTCCCATCAGCTCAGGGCTTGACTGATACCAGGTGCAAGACACATTTTATATGATGCTGGATACTGCATCCACTGCTGAGAAAAAGACCCAGCAAGACCAAAGTTGCTGTGAAAATTGATGTTTTACAGAAAATAAACTGTAACAGATTAGACTTGGCTTGCCTATGGTTTAATGAGAATGTATACATTTGTTTGATATGCTGTCATTAACACCAAAGTTTCTTATTATTGATATTTTATTAAAATATATCTGTTTCCTTTGAGGTAGGAGGTGGAAGTCATTTAATAATATTTTTTCAACTTTATTACCGGTGTGTACACAACGTTCAACCATCATTGAAATCAATGATTTATTGAGTTTTAATTCAACTTACAGTAGCAGGTAGCAGCAAGTAGGTAGACTGCAGTTGAATAAAAGATCAGAAATATATATGTGTGTGTTTTAATCCCTGGATACCTTTCATATTATCAGAAATAAAACTGGTTTTATGATTGTAGTTTTTACTCTTTATTTGGTTGATTTTCCTTTATTCACCTGCCCACACCCTCTTTCATAGTGAAAATGGTTCTATAATCATTCTGGAAGTTCAAAACGTGCTGACACCTGATGTCAAGGCTGAGCTGATATACAGTATAGGATAGCTGTGCTGTTGCCTTTAGTGTAAAACATGTATTTGAACTTATCTCACATTATTGTCCCAGTTATTCTTTTCATCATATCCTAAATTATCAGAAACATAAATAGCCAAGCACCCTCCTCCATCCTCCAAAAAATATTACAACTCTATCCAAGATAGTTTTGTCATAGAAATATTTTTTTTTGTTTCATATTTAAAGATTTTCTAAACCAGTATAGCCAAGATGTATACTGTACTATTCCCCTTGTTTCTTTATTGTACGCAAGCACACAGCTTTTCAGATTGAGGGCTGAACATGAACATGCTTGATGGAAAGGAAAAAAAAAACAATATACTGTAAGCTATAATTTTAAATAACAATGAGAATATGTTAATATAGAATTGAGAGCTAATTCCATTTTGCTAAAAACTGTGATAAGCAGATGATTGAACCCTTTATTTCTTTTTTAGCCCAAATTGAATTGCTATTGAATATGATAAGAAATAGTTAGTGAATGTGGTCCTAGGTGTCTTGTTATCCTTGAATAGACAAGGCCCTTCTCTTCAAAAAGAAATCTAACTCTAATTCTGATGATCAAGCTACAGTATCTCATTTGCACAGTGCTGCATTTTATTTGCAATTTTGCCCTATTGGGACATTGTTTTTTTTTTCCCCTGCTTTAGCCTATGGACATCACAATCACAGGACAGCACTGCAATGTAATTATATTGGTTAAAAGTGATTCTGATATGCAATTACAGCACAAAGAAAAAGGTTTGTCAACCCCCAGGTTAATTAGAGATAATACCAAAGTCCTATCGTAATGCATAGTATAGCATAGTGTGAAAGTCTCTTGATTCAGAACTGGTTCCTTTTGCATACACTGCTGTAGTACCTTGAGCAAGGTATTTTACCTCAATTGCTCTAGTCCACTTAGCTGTATAAGTGGAATGCAACATTGCTTGGGAATCCCATCAAGGGGTCAAAGACAAGTGTTCTGTGATTGCTTCATGTCTAGAACCCAGGATAATTATAAAGTAATTATGAACATTGTAAAGAACCCCACAGAAACCCCTACAGAACCAGGCTTCTGGAAGGATAGAAATATTGCTCTCTAAAAGGATCATTGCTGCCATCTCAAATTCACCAATTCACAAGACTACTGGAAGAATGTTCGTTGGACAGATGAGTTAAAAGTTGAAACATTTGACAAAAATGTGGAGCAAAATCTAAACACTGCCTTACAACAGAATAACGTTATCTAAACTCTCAAGCATGGTGGGAGTATCATGGTTTGGGACTGCTTTGCTGCTTTGATGGGTTTACATCACTGAATTGCGCAATCCATTCATCAGCTGAAGCTTAGGCAATAGTGAATCGTGCAACACCACAATAATATTAAACGTACAAGAAAATCTACAACAGAATTGGCAAAGAAATGTCGCATTTTGGATTTCCCAAGTCAAATTCAATATCAAAACCCCCTTGAAATGTTACGGCGGGACATGAAGCAAGCAGTTTATGCAAGAAATTAGTTACTGAATCTCAGGTTTTACATTCTTAAACAAGGATATTTAATATATGAGTATATGAGAATACAAACTAATTTATGAATTTCACAGTTTCTTTGTGTATTCATCCATCCAACCATTTTCTAATTGTTTTATCCAATACAGAATGCAGGTAAGCGGAACTATCCCAGCTAGCAATGGGCACAATGCAGGATACACCCAGGACTGGACACCTGTCAATCACAAGATACACACAGACACAAACATGCACACACTCACACTAGGCCCAAATTTCCCAGATATCAATTAACCACTGTCTTTGGACTGTGGAAGGAAACTAGAGCACCTGGTGACAACCCATGAGAATATGGGGAGAACATATAAACTACACATAGATAGCAGTTGAACCTATAGCCCCAGTGCTGTGAGGCAGTTGCTGAGTGCCTCATATTCAATGAGTTATAGGTGGTAGAGTCTTCTGAGACATTAATTGCCTAAATTGATTTATTAATATATTTAAATAAATTTAGCAAGAGCCTTAAAGATTACTTTTCTTTAAAAAAATATATAGAGTGAGTTTTTAAGTACAGTAGCTAGTGACTTAAGGAATGGAAGACATTTTAGGAATTAGCTAAATATTTTTCACACTTCAGGCAGAACAAACTCAGAACACTCAAGACCTAAGCAAATGAAATGTGATATGAACAGAAGAATATAAGAAACAAGAGGAGGTATTTTTTTAAATCTATCTTTAGTTGGTAGTAGCATAAATATCTAGGAATTCCATCCATCTCTTAAATAATCCCACAGAGTCAGCTTCAGCCACATAACTATTGAATTGGTTACAGGCTCTCAAAATCCTCTCTGTAAAGTTTTCCACTTCTTTTGACCAAATCTTAATCTATGTTGCACACAGTGTCATAGTTTTCTCCAGCTCCATGTCTGAGGATTAGTCTTATTTGGTATGGTAGTAAAAGCTTTCTGAAAGTGCAAATATACTGTATCATGCTTCTTGCCCTAAAGTTATCCACAGAGGTAGTTACTTACTCAAAAAAAAAAAAAGCTAGTAGGGACGTTAGGCAAGATATAGCACTTCTTAAATCATCCAAGCTATTTTCCAGAATACAGTTTTCATGTAGATGCTCTTCTAGGTGTGTACTTGTAGCTTTTCCCTAACTTTGGATGAAATTGAGCCAAAGATGATTGAATTGTGCATAGCCTCCTGGGTCTTGCATTTGTGATTTTCTAATCAGTCGGCACCTACTCTGCCCTAACAATCATTTGTAATATTGTACAGTAGTTAGGGGTCTGTGAGTAATTACCACATTTTTTGTAGTATAAATACACACTGGTTATGGTAATTTGTTTGAAGTTTTTCTAGCTCAGTTAAGAGCTCATCCTCTAATCCATTCATTTAATTTCCACCTTTGTGGTTGTCTGTGCTATGTTTTTACAAAAAGGTGTTAAGAAAATAGCAAGTAGAGGGCAAGAGATTAAAATGATTACAATAAATAATAAAAAAACCCAGATGTCAAAAATATGCCCAATCAGTTTTTACAGTTTGAGATATGTGAGTTCTTTATTCTCTGGCACAGCCTTGGCAAAACAGTTATGAATCAGATGCAAACTAGAACAAACAAATATTTCTTAACAAGACAAAATAACACAAAAAATGTTACACACAAAGCTACATTATTTACAAAATAAGACATCTCAGAGGCCTGTGAATTTTTTCCGATGGCAGGTGGAGCAACGCGCTGGTTGGAGTATTCTCGGTCGCATTTAATGTCAACGTCAGCTCAAAGATTTGGTTCAAACCACCAAATGGAGATGGGCGTGCCAACAAGCAGACCCTGCTGATGCGGGATGAACACTAGGATGAGAGAGAGAGAGGCCTATGAATTTTTTAACTAAAAACTCATATTGCTAACCCATCCATCCATCCATCCATTTTCACTCCTCTTTTCCTGGTGAGGGTCGCGGTTGCAGCAGGCCGAGTAGATCAGCCCAGACTTCCCTGTCCCCAGCAACAGATTCCAGCTCCTCCTGGGGGATCCCCGGGTGCTCCCCAAACAGCTGAGAGATATAATCCCTCTAGCCTGTCCTGGGTCTGCCACGGGGTCTCCGCCCAGTGGGATGTTCCCAGAACAGCTCCTGAGGAAGCCAACCGGGAGGCGTCCATATAAGATAAGATGTCCAAACCACCTCAACTGGCTCATCTTGATCTGGATTGCCAAGCTCCTCACCCTGTCATGGAGAGTCAGCGCAGTGGCTCTGCGGAGAAACCTTATTTCTGCAGCTTGTACCCACGATCTCGTTAATTCGGTCATTACCCACAGTTCATGAACATAGGTGGGGACAGGGTGGCGTTCACTGTCAAGCTCCTGGTGGCCGGGCTCAGCCCGAAAAGGCAATGTGGGGCCATCTTGTGGGCTCACCACCTGCAAAACGAAGGGTGAGAGTTGGGTGCGATGCCAGTCTAGTGGCAGGTATAAGTGGAAAGGACCTAGACGAACTAGACCCTGGCAATGGAGACTATTGCTAACCCTGTAATCTGAAATCCTATATACTGTAACATCCAAACAGACCAACAAGAGAAATACCCAACATCCTAAATTAACAAAATAGGACTCAGTGCCAAATATCCCTTCCTAAACCTAGATGCCCAAACGTAGATGGGACTCTATCCTCCTTTTCTAAAAATGCATTGGGGAACTTTTTATTGCACAATAAAAGAAATCCTGTCTTTTTTACCCTGTGTTCTGATAAGGACCTTTAATGATTCATCAAGGTGCTTATTAATTAACATAAACCAGAAAATATCCTTTGTGTTAGCTGGCCTGTTAACTCTGTTGCAATCTAATAAACTGGAACTCTTCATTTTACAAAAAAAAGACAACTCCTCCCCCAGCCATAACAATAATAAAGGATTTTTATATATTTTTCTCCATAGTTTTTAACGGAGTTGTATTATAATTGAACCCTCTGTTGCCAGGATCATTGTTTATATGCCTTGACAGACTTTCAGTTTAAACACATCCACAAAAAGTGTTTATTTCCCAGGGATTTTGTGAAAGAAACTGAATGTGATCTGGCGTGGCCTGTACTTCCAGGAGTCTCTGCATAATACCT